AAGGCCCTGAAAACTGCAGTCATCAGGCCCCTGCTAAAAAAGAGCAGTCTGGATGCTACGGTACTTAACAACTATCGTCCCATCTCAAATCTGCCATTTATGGGGAAAGTCCTTGAGAAAGTTGTCTACCTACAGCTTACTAGATTTCTTATAATCAACAACTCATTTGATATGTTTCAGTCCGGCTTTAGACCCCACCACAGCACTGAGACTGCTCTCGTTAAGGTTACAAACGATATCTGGCTGAACACTGACGCAGGCCAAGTCTCAACAGTCTCTCCATGGCCTCGCACCAAAATATATTAGTGACATGTTAGTCCCATATGAACCAGCCCAGACTCTGAGGAGCACAGGGACTGGACTCCTGTTAGTGCCCAGAGTCAGAACTAAACATGGGGAGGCTGCTTTTCAGATTCATACCGCTAAAATAAGGAACAATCTTCCTGAAGATGTGAGACAGGCCTCCTCTCTGACAATGTTTAAAACCAGGTTAAAGACAGTTCTGTTTAGCTGTGCATACAACTGAGGGATTTTATATTTTTATTTTTCTATTTAATGTTCTGTGATTATTTATGATTTTAATATGCAGCTTAAGCGGAGGTTCAGGATGGTAGACTACCTACGTTATCACACCAGGCTTGACCACGCCTTACTCAGCCTGTCTTAATCAACTCCCCGCAGCCGTGTCACGCTGCGGGGAGTTGATTGCGTGTAGACGCTTCAACAACGCCGCACGTCGGCGGCCGCACGCTTCATCGCAGCTCGTCGGCGGCCGCACGCTTCATCGCCGTACGTCGGTCGGCGCACGCTTCCACGCCGGTGGCCGCTGTTTGACGCCACGTCGGTGTCCGCCTCCTGCCGCATTCTTGATGCCACGCTTTGACGCCACGCTTTGACGCATTCGTGTGCTCTCATCCATTCATCGTGGGACCAGTGTCGACCATGGACTCGCGTTCCCTATTGGTGGGTGAACAATCCAACGCTTGGAGAGTTCTGCTTCACAATGACGGGAAGAGCCGGCATCGAAGGATCAGGTCAGTGGTCTGACTGAAGACGTGGTCTGACACTGCCCGTTGGTCCTTTTCACTCGAGTGATAGTGGTTCGAGGTTTCTCTTTTCAGCTTCGCAGGAACGTGATGCTGCAACGCGCACCAAAGCTCTGCTACGACGCCGCGACGGTGGCCTGCTGCAAGGCTGGCCTGCTAAGACTGCATGAGTACTGTTCGGCGTGGCCTTCAAACCTGGCCGGCTATCTTCCCCAGGCCGCACTCATTGGCTTTTGGTGTGCAGCACTGCCCGCCACGGTTTGTGTGCACTCTGAGTGGCTGTAGGCGGTGCTCCTTCTCATGTTCCCCAGGCATATTCTCTCCTGGTCTCCTGGTGCGGCTCCTGCCGCCGGGCCTGTCTCACGCTTCGCCTTACCTGACGCACCCTGGCCCTCATTCTGACCGGGCCCTTGTGCGTTGGTTTTTGGGGGTCCAGAGATCTCCTATCGAACATCAATCTCCCTGGGTAAGTGTACTTCATGAATCTCATTTTCACCTTCTTGTCTCCCCAAGTGGAATCATGTTCGAATATCAGCGCTCTAAACCTCATCATCCTTCATTCAGCATTCTCCTTTCCCTCTCACTGCACACTCTCAGTCTCTGGACATCAGCATCGCGGGTACTGCCGTCACTGCCTCATCTACATCGGCATTAAATACATTCTCTAATATCCACTTCGAGTCACACTGCTCCACCCTCATAAGAAGATCCTTAAAGGAGTTTTGGCAATGGTCCTTGTTCTCTAGTTTAGGTTCTGGACGACTAGCCTGTCTGTCCGTGGAGTGGATCCCTCTCTCAATGTAGGGTCTTCCGAAGGTTTCTCACTTTTTTCCCCAAGGGGTTTTGTGAGTTTTCCTTGCCATGCAGGAGGGTCTGGACAGTTAGTGTCCAACTAGAAGCCCGTGGTGATGATCCAGGATACTTTAACATTCTACAACATGTATGGACATTTTATCAACATTCACAGACTATAATTACTCCTTAAACAATCCCTTGACGACCCCCTGGTCTGAACAAATTCAAAACCTGTGCTCCCTGCATGTAACCTCTCTTCCTTTCTCTACATCCGCCACTCCTTCCGGATAGGAGCAGCCACTTGGGCTGCTGTCCTGGGACTCCCTCAATCATCTCTCCAGGAGCTCGGTCCCCGGGTTCTCTACCACGCCGAGCTCGTGCGCGTGCCAACGCCTAGCGCTAGCCAAGCTCTCTTTTTGGGGATCATGATCTGCACCCAGGCGCAGATCTCTTCAGAGCACGGCCACAGCCGAGGCCTAAGCTCCAAACCAATAAACAAACTCAATCCATAAAATAAACAACTCTTAAATGCATCTCGTCTCTTGTAGTCTCTCCAGGTTGAAATGCAGCTTAAGCGGAGGTTCAGTATGGTAGACTACCTACGTTATCACACCAGGCTTGACCACGCCTTACTCAGCCTGTCTTAATCAACTCCCTGCAGCCGTGTCAGTCAAGCCAGCGTTTAAGAGCAAAGCAGAGCACAGCTCACCAAACGGACTTCAAGCTGCAACCACCTCCTCCCCACCTCCGCCTCAGGATTTCTTCACTCTCACATTCACCTTGCCTTGTTGCCACCACCAGTGTCTAGGCCCCGGGGGATCATGATCTGCACCCAGGCGCAGATCTCTTCAGAGCACGGCCACAGCCGGGGCCTAAGCTCCAAACCAATAAACAAACTCAATCCATAAAATAAACAACTCTTAAACGCATCTCGTCTCTTGTAGTCTCTCCAGGTTGAAACTTTCTTATTTTGCTCAGCACTTTGAGTTTCCTTGTGTATGAATTGTGCTATACAAATAAACTTGCCTTTCCTGAAACTCACATGACGCTGATCCATAGCCTGGATGGAAATGAAAAGGGGAAACATCTTCTGTCGCTTAATGACGTTACTACGAATCAATACTGACGTTTCCCGCCACCTACTGTATCAGAGTGTGATACTCCATGCCTTTGGAACAATGTTAGTCTAATTATCAGTTTTCTTGAAGTTAAATAATAAAATAATTCCCTCCATGTCTTCTCTTGAATAAACCCTTCTCTAAAATACCTTCCTGCTCCACTCCCGCCCTGCTTCTATCACTGAGCCCAAAAGCCTCCCTCTGCACACTGTAGTTCTCACATTTCAACAGCACATGCTCAACTGTTTCACTTACATCACACTTATCTGTAGCAGACTTCTTTATCCTAAATAATGTTGAGGTCAGGCCTGTATGTCCGAGCCTTAGCCGGGTAAGTGCTGTATCGTTTCTCCTGTGATAACTGGCAGGTGTTAATTGGCAAGCTCCGACACTCTTGGGACCATGATGATAATGTTATCCTCATGGTCCCATATCTCCTGCCACACTGCAACAATACTCTGATATATTACACTTTTTATCTCCGATCCTCCAAATGGAATTGCAATGTCCATATTATTTTCTAGAAGTTCTCTTTTTATCATTCCCAAAAATATCAACATGAGCAGGGATCCAACAAACTGTACTTGGATACCCATCTGTTGTAGATTCAATAGTATCACATTCACTTCAATAATCAAATCATTTCGACAAGTCATTCCTGAAGTCAGTCTGAACAGAAAACCACCCAAAGCGGCTTCACTTCCTCAACCCATTGCAGACCAAGTATTATGGTGAACAATTCTGCAGTGTAAACTGAAAGATTGTCCGAGAGTCTCTTCGAAAAGCATTGTTCTTACTTTAGAATGTACACGCCCACTACATTCCTTAGATCCATCAGTAAAAATAGGCAAACAATACGAGTATCTTTATCCAAATACTTTAGTGACATATATCCCAAGTCACAATTCTTACCCGTCCATTCTTTGTTTTATTCAGCAGATTAAAATCTACTTGAGGCTGAGGAAGCATCCAGGGAGCAATGTTGCAAAACACTGTAGCAGGAGACAAGGGAACATTGTCAACATTATGAACTTTCACCAAAAAAGGGGAAACAATGGGCCTCCAGGGCTTAAAATGGCTGCCTAATTGAACCCAGGTGTGAAGGTGTAGGAGGGTGGAGCCAGCAGAGATCTATAATAAAAACTGGATAGGGTATTACTAGCTTTTAGCTGTCTCACCCACGGGCACAGGGGGCGCTGTGGTACTGCAGACTAGATTCACGTGGGCTACCCAGAAAAAAGTCCCATAGAACTCAATGTAAACTAAAAAAGCTCGACCTCAGCTGACAGAGAACCTGACAGAGAACCTACAGCTTTCAGAAAGGTCGTATTTTGTGTGGATTTTAGTGTCCCTTGTCATGCTGAACTTTTTTTCTTCTTAAATCCTTCAGTTTTCTTTAAATCCACACTTTACTGTCACAAACTCTGCTCGTTTGGCTCCCGCTCTGGCTCCCGCTCTGGCTCCGCTCTGATCAGCAGCTCTGATTGGTCAAAGCGCAGCCGAGCCCCTCTGAGCACGTGCATGATAAACACACATTGCACATATTTGGCACAAAGCATCATGGGAGCTCGTCCACTCGTCCCAAATATGGGCGAGTTCCGCTAATCTCTCGGCCCCGTGTATGTCCCATGCACGACTGAGCACAAGCCATTGATTTAAACACGGGGCCATCTTGGATCACCGGGGCTTGCTCGCACCGCACAGGGCCTCGCGTGTTGTTTCTCTTCCCGCACCGCGCGAGGCAGAGCTGAATTCATGTCAAAGATTATAACAGGGAAAACTTTCCTCAGATCTGGAAAAATAAGTGTCCGTGCAGGGCCTTATATTTCAAGTTCGCACAGGGCCTCGCACCCTTCTTGGGACGGGATTCTATTCTAATGAACCTTAGTTTTGTTTGTTCAAGTCCCTCCACTTTGAAATGCACGTATGAGGAAATGTGTGAGCTATCTAATATGTCAGCTAGCTTATGTTCAAATCAGCTTCTTCTGCACCAAGACAACTGTGCAACACAAATAAACCTGGTCTGCACATACACACTCACCTGTGAGCACGCTCAGATGCACGTTTGTGTCATAATCTGCTCTTCTTCTTCTCAGACGACACAGATATAAACCTGCGTCTGCACCTGTGACGTTGTGCAGAGACAGAGAGCAGTCCTGGTTCTGCCTTCGCCGGGGGTCTCCCTGGATCAGCTGACCCTCTGACTGAGGATCTCTGTAGTCGAACCACTCACACTCTGTTGGATAATTAGAAAGTCGGTCACAGGGCAGAGTGATGCTCTGTCCCGCTCTGGAGAAACGATAGACTTCATCTGCGCTCACTACTGCAAGAAAAACAAAATAAAAACAAAAGGACAGAGATTAGACCTGTTGCTAAGACGAGTTTACTTTTACATAGAGTCAGAGAGAGATGGAGCTAAAGATCGTTCATGAGCACCTCCCTGTTGGGCTTCACTGAGCGAGCGGGTTAGCATTGTCAGATTCAGTTTATTTTCCATTTGCAGTAAAACCATATTCAAATACATGTGCGAGAGTTCCCAGTGTGCACCAGACAAATACCAAAATAAAACAAGCTAAAAAGGTTCAAGAAACAATCATCACTGTGAAAGAAATCAACAAAAACAGCCTCAATACAAGATCAGACTGATAACAGCTGAAAGAAGCTGTTAGCATATCCGGATGTCCTGAATCTCAATATCTTCTGCCAGAGGAAAGAAGCTGGAACATGGCTTTTCCAGGGGCCTGAAGATTCATTGATTATTCTAAGAGCTGGATTTAAGTCTGGATTGATGAAGGAGCTCCATAATCTGAACACAGTCTGTGTTAGCCATGTCCATCTGTGAACAGTCTGGACCAAGCTGGACCCTGTTGCGGTGAGGCACAGGTGGTGAGAGGTGCTCGTACCTGTGATCAGCAGCAGACAGAGGTTCGTCCTCAGCGTCAGAGACATGTCTTCGTGAGTCTCTCTTCACATTTGAGAAATGTCTCTTCCTCTTTTGACTAAACACAGAACTTTCCTCCCACTGAGAGCAACACGTCTTTAAACATGTGTCAATGACTTCACTTTGTTCCTCAGACCACAGACCACGCCTCCTCCTCTGCTCTCTCTGGTCTCTCTCTCTGCTCTTTCTGGTCTCTCTGCTCTCTCTCTGGTCTCTCTCTCTGGTCTCTCTGCTCTCTCTCTGGTCTCTCTCTCTGGTCTCTCTCTGGTCTCTCTCTCTAGTCTCTCTGGTCTCTCTGGTCTAAAAATGTGACAGAGACCAGAAACACATTAAAACTAATTATGTAAGGAACAGGGTGATAGTAGCTCAGTTGGTTGAGTGTTGGCCTTTGGGCCTGGAGGTCGTGGGTTCGAGCCCGCTATGGGACCTTCTCCAACTGCTCCCACAAATGTCTACTGTTGTTGTGTCCTTGGGCAAGAAACTTAACCCCACGTTACCTGAAGCCCCCGCTGAAAGACTGAGGCTGTTTCACCGCTGACGGAGCAGCTTGTGGACCCACCCCCTGCAGAGGATCAGAGGGACTGGTGCTGTGAGCATTGGGTGGCAGCTCTCATTGCCATCCCCCCGACGCAGAAATGGACTAATGAAGGGGTTGAAAATGAATGATATAAGAAACATGTTTTAGAGCAGGGAGACCAGACCTGTACCACAACCAGAGCAGTCTGTGACCAAGATCGAGAGCAAACCAAAACCAGACTAGAACCAGATCAAAGCCAAAGACCAGGACCCAAACAGACATGTGAAAACTAGTGATAGAAGCAACAGTTTTGGAGCCAGGAACTAGAGACATGGGTTTATTACAGAGTTCCAAATGCTGTGGTGTGATGAGGAACACCATAAATGGCAAATAATACAAATGTGAAACGTTCAGACGAAGAACATGAATATTTGCTGCAGTCGGTGGAAGCTGTGAACAGGAAGTGACATCAGCACCGAGTCCGTGAAAGGAGAAGTGGAACCTTTAAAATATCTTTTCTATAGATAGATTTAGAGCAATAACAAATCTCTCACTATGGTCTCTCTCTGGTAGGCAAGGCAAGGCAAGGCAAGTTTATTTGTATAGCACAATTCATACACAAGGAAACTCAAAGTGCTGAACAAAATAAGAAAGTATTAAAATCATAAATAATCACAGAACATTAAAAAGAAAGATAAAAATATAAAATCCCTCAGTTGTATGCACAGCTAAACAGAACTGTCTTTAACCTGGTTTTAAACATTGTCAGAGAGGAGGCCTGTCTCACATCTTCAGGAAGACTGTTCCAGATTTTAGCAGCATGAATCTGAAAAGCAGCCTCCCCATGTTTAGTTCTGACTCTGGGCACTAACAGGAGTCCAGTCCCTGTGCTCCTCAGAGTCCGGGCTGGTTCATATGGGACTAACATGTCACTAATATATTTTGGTGCGAGGCCATGGAGAGACTTGTAACAAGCAGAGCCGTTTTAAAGTCTATTCTCTGAGCCACAGGAAGCCAGTGGCTCTCTCTGGTCTCTCTATGGTCTCTCTCTGGTCTTTCTCTTTCTGTTTTCTCTCTCTCTGGTCTCTCTCTCTGGTATTACTTTTACACCCTCTGTAGACAACCTGTCACATTTGACAATGGAATATACCAACAGAAGGGGGCCGTGTGACCACAGAACCAGTAAACTTGAGTGATTTGACCTAGAGCGCCCCCTGTCACCCCTTCTTGGTTTTGCCCTCTGCTGCTACTCATGTCTATTCAATACTACATAGAGCTAACCGCTAATCGGACTAGTGCCAACGCAGGGGCCGAGTCATAACTTAGCTTCAATATTGACTGAAGACTAATACATTTTTGTTTTATACTTCTCCTGAACCTTAAAGTGATAGTCTGGAACTCTAAATGAGTTACACATTTTAAGAATTGTATTAAATTGACCTCCTTGGCTTAAATGTTGATATAAAATAAGTCATTTTATGAATTATAATATTACGGGAAAGTCCCGCCTTCCCTTATTTTAGCCATAGATTAAAATCCACGATGCCGTCCACTTTAACCAATCAGGTGATGCCAAGGGCTGTCAATCATCGCGCACGTGCTCGTATATATCTCAAATATATATATATATTATATATTATATATATATATATATATATATATATATATATATATATATATATATATATATTATATATATATAATTAGGGCTGTCAAAATTATCGCGTTAATTACAGTTAATTACCGTTTTCATTAACGCGTTAAAAAATAATTAACGCATTAACTGCCATTGACGTGTTAACACGTCAATTGCGTTTCCGCTATTTTCACGTTCCCAGATGTCTATTGTATCAAATATGTAAGGCTTGAGGCAATATTTTATCGAGCCAGCAGATGGCAGCATTGCTCTATGAATGGTTTGAAAACAGCTAGATGCACTTTCTGGTGATTTCAATAAAACTTACCTCTACTCGATTGGGGATTACAGGGGAACGAAACAAGCTAGAAACAAAATTATTTTTGCTGATGAAAGTAGACAGTCCATTCTTTCAGAATCTGGTTTTGGATTTCAGATAGTCATAGTACACAATATTCTGTGGGTTGTGAAAATTCAGTAAAAATCATCAGAAACGGCTGGCAATATGGGAGTACCTGTTCTGAAATGGGCTGGAAGACAATCGCATGTCCGAATGACCCGCCCATTTATAATAATATCACTCAGAATGCCACGGACACGTGTGTGTGTGTGTGTGATGGTGACAGCGGTAACGTGGTCATATAATACACGCATATATATACACGCACAGGGGCCATTCTCTGATGTTGTGTGACACACGGAGGAGAGGAGACACGCTGAAATGCAACCAAACTCGCAAAATTAAAGCTGGGGTACCTACATTTTCCCTTTCATTAACAGCTCTTGTTGGTTGTACCCAAAAGTAGAAGGTTGTGAGCAAGTCAAACAGATTTAAGTACATTTGGTATGAATAACAATGTGTCATTACACTTCAATTGGAGTGGATTTGAAATAGAATGCTTAAAATGCGATTAATCGTGAGTTAACTCACCATTACTCTGCGATTAATCAACTAAAAAAATTAATCGTTTGACAGCCCAAATATATATATAATATATATATAATATATATATATATAATATATATATATATATATATATATATATATTATATATATTATATATTATATATATATATATATATATATATATATATATATATATATATATATATATATATATATATATATATATATATATATATTATTATATAATGCATTTATTTGTGTATTTATTTATTTGTGTATTTTATTTATTTATTTTTGTATTTATTTATTTATTTATTTCTGTGTATATTAATTGTTTTGGCAGCCACGGTCCTCCATACCGATAGCTTCTCTCAAACAGACGTAATAAGTGACAGGCGCTGAAAGCCTGTTGTTACCAAATGTACGAACTACAGCGGTCATTATTGGTTTGAGAGGTTCGTTATCAAGAAATAATGGGCCTCATTCACGAATAACTTCGTAAGAAACTACTCAACTTTCTTCTCAAGTTGTCCTTAAGTAGATTTCTAAGAAGTCCCCACGTGGGATTCATCAACGCACTCGTAAGCCGCTGAATTGTTCGCAGCTGTTCTCTCAGATTGATGAATCCCATTTCCTCGTAAGTACAGCGCGCGTGCCAGGTGCTTCATTAGCATAGGTACTTAGCATAAGTAACCGCTCACTAATGCCCATATAAGGGACTGCAGGGCCGTGTGCAGACGGCAGAGGAAACAGCAACAGGCCTAAAGCAACAGGCCACGGAGCAAAAGAGTCACCCTTTCTTCTTTTACCAGACTGAGAATAAAGTTATAAAATGTTGACTTAAAAGTCGAAATATTATGATAATAAAGTCGAACTAGCAAAATTATGAGATTAATCTAAGAATATGATGAGATTAATCTCAAAATGTCATGAGCTTAATTTAAAAATATATTATGTATTATTTTAAAGATGAATCTCAAAATGTTTTGAGATTAATCTCAAAATATTTTGGACCCTGGGAGGAGATCCAGCGCGGACCAGCGCTGAGACCAATGCAGACCCGAGGAGAGACTGGAGTGACCAGCACACAGAAACCAGCGCGGACCTATAGGAGAGACCGCATAGACTGGAGTGACCTGACTGGAGAGACCGGTGCGCAGAGACCAGCGCGGACCGAAGATAGACCGCATAGACCAGACTTGAGAGACCAGCGCGAACCCGTATGGATCCAGGAGCATGCAGCACGGACCCGTATGGAGAGACCAGTGCAGACCCGTCTAGATCCATGGGAGAGACCAGTGCAGACCCGTATAGATCCATGGGAGAGACCAGTGCAGACCAGTATAGATCCATGGGAGAGACCAGTGCAGACCAGTATAGATCCATAGGAGAGACCAGCGCAGAGACTCAGCGCGGACCCAGTAACCTCCTGCAGCAGCAGTATATATGCCGTTGTTCTGTGGCCCGTGGATAAAGAAATGCCCCCTATAAATAGGAAGGGGTCACTAATACACGGCAAGATTTCCAATGTATTTGATAAAGCGTTGGCACATTTCATTTCAAAATGAATTAAAAAGTAGGCCAGATCTGCAGTGAAAAAGGCGGTATATAAATAAAGATTACTAATAAAGATTACTACAAATAAATAAATACATACATCGATATGACGGACATATCACTGGAATGTTGTAATTTTATTCAACTTCACCAAAGAGGACAACCCCGGCGTGTGAACATGTCGGCACTGAATGCGTACGAGTGCTCCTGAGGACTCGTAGGATTTGTACTTGCCCAAGTGAAATTCTGGTTACGAGAAATATTCGTGAATGCCACTTTCTTCGTAAAAACCGCGTAAGTAGGATTTACGTCATGGATGTATTATATTAACTGGATAGGGTATTACTAGCTTGTAGCTGAATAACTCATGTGCTCGGGGGATTCTCGCGGTACTGCAGACTAAACCAGACTAAATTCACGTGGGCTACCCAGAAATTTTCCCCATAGAACTCAATGCAAATTAAAACAGCTCAACCTCAGCTGACAGAGAACCTACAGCTTTAATAAAGATAGGATTTTGTGGGGATTTTAGTGTCCCTTGTCATCCTGAACTTTTTTTCTTCTTAAATCCTTCGGTTTTGTTTAAATCCACACTTTAGTGCCACAAACTCTGCTCCTCTGGCTCTCGCTCTAACTCCCGCTCTGATGAACTGCTCTGATTGGTCAGAGCGCGGCCGAGCCCCTCTGTGCACGTGCGTGAGACCTGGTGTGAGACCCACACACGCGTGTTTGGCGCAAGGCATTATGGGAGATCATCCACTGTGCAGAACCGGGAGGACCAGACGATGCCCAAATACAGGCGAGTTTCCCATAGATCTTTGCGAGTTTCAGGCAACTTCCGCTAATCTTTCAGCCCCCATGCAGTCACAAAGCGCCACTGAGCACAACCATTCATTTGAATAGGGCGCCATCTTGAATCGCCGGGGCTTGATTTATGTACAAATCTGTTCCTAAGAACCGTTCGTGAATGAGGCCCAATGATCGTAGAACGTTTTGAAATAACATTAAAATCAACGGAGTGTTCTACTGCTGCTGTGAGGAGCTGTGTAATGAACTCTGATAAATACTCTAATATTGAAACTAATAATCTCTCCTCCGCACGTCTTGGACCATTGACCTGGTGCGTGCTTGAAAAGTAGGTGCGGCTTCAAGACCAATCAGAAAGGAAGGGGGAGGAGCTTGGGTCGGGTTTTTTCATATCATGTACCTCTCTTTTTTCTGACAAACTCCAGACTCACTTTAAGCAAGATCTCCATGGATGTAACGGCCGAAGGCAAATCAGTTCCTGTTTTTATCACATGCTGTGTTTATTTAGGTGACTATTTTAGCCAAAAGACTGTTTTGAATGTGATCCCCTGATGATAAATATAAATATGTTTTTGTTGTAGCATTGGCAGATTTTGTGAATAGAGAATGATCAACGATAAGTGATTGATTATGATTTTATGGCACCATTGTATGATGTGATGTTTATTAGACTTTTTATGTTTCTCAAACAAATAAACAAAACCTGTCTCAAAGTCCCACATCTCTGGTCTCTCTCTGGTCTCTCTCTGGTCTCTCTCTGGTCTCTCTCTGGTCCCTCTCTGGTCTCTCTCTGGTCTCTCTCTCTGGTCTCTCTCTGGTCTCTCTCTCTGGCCTCTCTCTGGTCTCTCTCTGTTCTCTCTCTGGTCTCTCTCTTGTTCCTCTGGTCTCTCTCTGATCCCTCTCTGGTCCCTCTGGTCTCTCTCTGGTTCCTCTGGTCTCTCTCTGGTCTCTCTCTTGTTCCTCTGGTCTCTCTCTGGTCTCTCTCTGGTCCCTCTCTGGTCCCTCTGGTCTCTCTCTTGTTCCTCTGGTCTCTCTCTGGTCTCTCTCTTGTTCCTCTGGTCTCTCTCTGGTCTCTCTCTCTGGTCTCTCTCTGGTCTCTCTCTGGTCCCTCTCTGGTCTCTCTCTGGTCTCTCTCTGGTCTCTCTCTTGTTCCTCTCTGGTCTCTCTCTTGTTCCTCTCTGGTCTCTCTCGTGTTCCTCTGGTCTCTCTCTGGTCTCTCTCGGGTTCCTCTGGTCTCTCTCTTGTTCCTCTGGTCTCTCTCTGGTCTCTCTCTTGTTCCTCTGGTCCCTCTCTGGTCTCTCTCTGGTCTCTCTCTGGTCTCTCTCTGTTATTAAACAAGCAAACATTACTATTGTTGGTATTATTTAACATGTTTTATTATTTCACACAAACACATTTCTCTACTTTCTGTTTCACATTTATAGATAAAAAGTCTAAAACTTCTTAAAACTACAGGAAACAAAGTCTTCCATTTCACCGTTCTCTCCTGGTGAAGACAGATGGTTACATGTGTTCACCTCATCTCTGAAGAAAGTCTGGTCTAGTCTGGTCTGGTCTAGTCTGCCGAGGCTCTCTCTGGTCTCTCTCTGGTCTCTCTCTGGTCTCTCTCTCTGGTCTCTCTCTGGTCTCTCTCTGGTCTCTCTCTCTGGTCTCTCTCTGGTCTCTCTCTGGTCTCTCTCTCTGGTCTCTCTCTGGTCTCTTTCTGGTCTCTCTCTGGTCTCTCTCTGGTCTCTTTCTGGTCTCTCTCTGGTCTGGTCGCAGATCTTAGACCCGACCCTGGCCTGGTCTGGTCTCTGTGGTCTTAATGTTGAGGGCAGAGTAGGTCACAGTCTCCTCCTCAGGGATCTGACGAGAGGCAGAAGAACAGATAAGAATCTAAAGTCAGCTTTGAACCAGCTCTGACTGACACTTACTGGTTTCTGAGCTGCTGCTTTCTGGTGGTTGATGGTTGCGTACGTCACATTGTTCTCCAAATCCACCTGGTAAACAAGAGAATCCTGTGTGAGAACCATGTGTGAATTGTTTTATCTGGAGGGTGTTGCTTGTTAAGGACCGACACAGATCGAGATTGTGTCGCACCATGAAAAACTTCTGTTTGTTGTTGAGAATTTAGGGGTTTTGTGTTTAAAAACATCAGCGCAGCGACAAGCAGCAGCAGCAGCCCGGCTCCGAAGGCAATGTGCAGCGGCACCAGCGGAAATCCTGAAAAATAATGATGGGGAACTGTTTATAACAGGGGTGATGTGTTCTACAAATAAGGTCTGTCTCTGAGGTCTCTGTCTCTGAGGTCTCTGTCTCACCTGAGGTCCCTGTCTCACCTGAGGTCCCTGTCTCACCTGAGGTCCCTGTCTCACCTGAGGTCTCTGTCTCTGAGGTCTCTGTCTCACCTGAGGTCTCGGTCTCACCTGAGGTCTCGGTCTCACCTGAGGTCTCGGTCTCACCTGAGGTCTCGGTCTCACCTGAGGTCTCGGTCTCAGAGGTCTCGGTCTCAGAGGTCTCGGTCTCAGAGGTCTCGGTCTCTGAGGTCTCGGTCTCCTGTGGTGGTCCCCTGCTCCTCTGGACCCTGATCTCCGCAGACACCACCTGTTCTCTCTCCTTATAGCTGCAGGTGAAGGTCCTGACGTTGTGACTTTGCTCCACAGTCTCCTCAGACTCACAGCGGTCTCTTCCTTCAGACAGAAGAGCACCGTCCTGGTCTCTCCACTCTATCCTCCCGTCTCTGCAGGATCTTATGTGGGGTCTCAGAACACACCGGAGTCTTGTTTGTGACGCGTTGACCACAGTCTGAGACACTGAGACACAAGACACAGAGAGACATTTATGAGGAACAGGAAGTGACAGGAAAAAGAAACTAAAAGAAGATTAGTTTGTGCCACAAACTGTTCATAGCTCGAGCCCCAGTGATCCAAGATGGCGTCCTTTTTAAATCAGTGGTTTGTGCTCAGAGGCACATGTGCCACCATGGGGACCGAAAGATTAGCAGAACTCACCCATATTTGGGCATCGTCTGGTCCTCTGGTTCTGCGCATTGACGAGCGCTGTCCAATCAGAGCTGCTGATCCGAGCAAAGTTAGAGCGGGAAGAAAACGAGCAGTTTGTGGCACTAAAGTGTGAATTTATAGAGAGCTGTAGGTTCTCTGTCAGGTTCTCTGTCAGGTTTTCTGTCAGCTGAGGTCGAGCTGTTTTAGTTTACACTGAGTTCTATGGGGAACATTTCTGTGTAGCCCACGTGAATTTAGTCTCGTCTGCGGTACCTCAAGAATCCCCGAGCACAACCTTTAGCTTCAAGCTGTAATACCCTATCCAGATATTATAATAGATCTGTAAAATTGTAATTGAATAGACGGTGAAAAAAGCCCAAGTGAATAAACAAGGTCCTGAGACAGGGTCAGTTTAAAGATTTATTATGACATCAGACATGGTTGTTTACACTGCACCAAAGCAGAAGACAAATGACAGATTAACAAACAAATATCCATCCATCCATCCATTTTCTACCCTTTAATCCATTTCTGGGTCAGGGGGGTGGCAATCAGAGATGCCACCCAAGTCTCATAGAAATGAAACTAAAATGGGAAATCAACTTCCAAACGTAAATGCAATGAGTTTGCACATTTTTTCAATGACAAGGTTCAAGTCATCAAAAACGCCATTGTCTCCAATCCACAGATAACAATCCAACAGCCAGAAAGGCTCTCTGAGCTAACTCACTTTCCACCTGTAGATGATAAAACTGTCCAAGAGATAATCTCCAGTCTGAGCTCCTCCACATGCAGCCCGGATGTACTACCCACTAGATTTCTGAAGTCTGTTCTGAGCAGTCTGTTACCTTCACTCACACAGATAGTAAACATGTCCCTTCATTCTGGAATATTCCCAAAGGCCCTGAAAACTGCAGTCATCAGGCCCCTGCTAAAAAAGAGCAGGCTGGATTCTACGGTACTTAACAACTATCGTCCCATCTCAAATCTGCCATTTATGGGGAAAGTCCTTGAAAAATCTACCTACAGCTTACTAGATTTCTTATAATCAACAACTCATTTGATATGTTTCAGTCCGGCTTTAGACCCCACCACAGCACTGAGACTGCTCTCGTCAAGGTTACAAACGATATCCGGCTGAACACTGACACAGGCCAAGTCTCAATCTTAATCTTGTTAGATCTGAGTGCTGCCTTTGACACTGTCGACCATGAGATCCTCTTACAGAGACTAGAGGACTGGGTTGGCGTCGCTGGCACTGCCCTAAGTTGGTTTAGGTCTTACCTTGAAGACAGGAAGTACTTTGTGGAGATTGGAAACTGTGTCTCAGATCATATGGCCCTGACCTGTGGAGTCCCACAGGGGTCGATCCTGGGACCTCTTCTGTTCAATCTCTACATGCTGCCGTTAGGTCAGTTAATACGCAGAAACGAAGTGTCCTATCACACTATGCAGACGACACTCAGATCTATGTCTCACTGACTGCAGGAGAACATGGACCAGTGGACTCACTCCTTCACTGTATCCAACAGACAGTGTTGGGCACGTTACTTTGAAAAAGTAATTAGTTATAGTTACTAACGGAGTTACTCCACTATAAAAGTAACTAGTTACCAGTAAAAGTAACTATTGCGTTACTTTTTCGTTTTGTTCTGGAACATAATGTGCACCCGACGTGCGCATTTTTACCTTTAACAGTGCCAATATTTCCATCTGAAAAAGGCTGTTTTGCTGCTGAAGTCCTGTTCACTCTTCATCTCTCTCTGTGCTGTAAGCACTAAACACCAACACCCGCCACTGTGAATGTGGAAACACCGGTGACGAGCGGTGAGGCTGGTGAAGCACTGACTTCAGTCCAATCAGATGAACATATACATCATATAAATCAAGTGGACAATTTGTTTGGCTACAGCAAAATATGTTTTATGCTCGCATTGTTTGTTCATACAAAACGCAAAACTATGAGTTATGGGTCTTACCTTATAGCTATACCTTATAAATGACCTGCACAGTGCACTTCGGTTCAGACCAGTTCCTTGTTTAAATCCAGTTAATGGTTTGAGCGTAGATATGTAATCCTCCATTTGGAAATGAGTCCAATGAGTTTTAAAAAGTAAAACAAAACGCGTGTGTCCTCCGTAAACTCCTCTGTTTTGCGGCAGCCGAGTGCATCCAATTTCTAAAATCAACCGTCTTACACTTCACCTCTCTTTCTTATCATTCCTATAGTCCTTGAAAAATTACCGTATGTGCATTTTAGATTATCTAAAAATGTGTTATATGTATGTTAGCCAAACCTGTTGCTGTCCTTAGCAGATAAACCAGGAAGAGAAAGGAGCTTATCGATGGAATTGTATGCAGCCGACTTCTGCGCTCACATGCGCTCCTCTAAGGCCTTACGGTGATACAAGCCGTGGTTGAGCGCGATTAAGACCCATTTGTTTCAAAAACACAATTTATGAGCCATCCTCTCAACTGTAGACATGTAGATTGTAAAGGAAATATGTTTTACATCAGCCAATAATTGCTGAGAGGTTTTCTCATCCTCCCTTCTCTCATGACAACACGTTCATTGTGCGTCTTGAGTAACGCGCAGTAACGGGATGTCGGAAATGATAACGGCGTTATAGTTACTGTCAAAGTAATTAGTTAGATTACTCGTTACTGAAAAAAGTAGGCAGTTCTACTTCAATCTGGCAGTTCGCAAGATTCACGACCTGCTGGCCAACAAAATTGATGGGATGTACAAGGAGCTTAACCGAGTCGTGGTTGAGAGCGCTGTGGCTGGACAAAGAAGAGTGGTGTTAGTGGAACAGTTGATCAGAGATCTCGCAGCTCGTTCACTCGATGGGCATAAAACTCTGGAATTGAGATTGAATGACATTGTTTGTCACGCTTGAACTCTCTGACCCGGCTTGGATTGGCCCCTGTGTACGGGGTCTGAGGGCGCCGCAATTCGGTTTAATTGGATTTAATAGAATATCTGCCTGTTTTTGACTGCTAAAATGCATAATATATTGTCCCTCGTTACAGGAAGATGTGTTTTTCTCCTTGCTGTGTCTTCCCTCCACTCTTATCTCACATTCCTCGGGCCAAGGCCATCATAATAAATCTGGACTCTACAACAATTTCACACTCTTTCAGTCAGTTCCAGCTTGGATCCCGCTCCCCCCACCTCCCTCTGATCTCTCCCTCCCCTACCCTCCTCATTGTGTTTCCGACTCACCCCCTCCCTGACCCCGCCCCCCTCTGACAGCCACATTGGGCCGGCTGCAGAAGGGCTCATCCCGAAAAAAAATCCGTGGTTTATACAAAGCACAATGTTTTCTATCCAACTGTCTGTTGTAACCTGAATGTTATTGCTCTCTGCTGTTTATTCTACTGTTTGTCGCATGGCGCCGGAAAAGATGGCGCCGTGGCAAGAGCTCTGGTGTGTGTCGTCTCTGTCTGGCGCACACGGGGGTAGTCTTGCACAGTTTTTCCAATGTGGTTTTACTGCAAATGGCAAATAAATGAATCTGAATCTGAATCTGAATCTTAGACCCGACCCTGGCCTGGTCTGGTCTCTGTGGTCTTAATGTTGAGGGCAGAGTAGGTCACAGTCTCCTCCTCAGGGATCTGACGAGAGGCAGAAGAACAGATAAGAATCTAAAGTCAGCATTGAACCAGCTCTGACTGACACTTACTGGTTTCTGAGCTGCTGCTTTCTGGTGGTTGATGGTTGCGTACGTCACATTGTTCTCCAGATCCACCTGGTAAACAAGAGAATCCTGTGTGAGAACCATGTGTGAATAATTTTTTCTGGAGGGTGTTGCTTGTTAAGGACCGACACAGATCGAGAGGAGACCAGAGGGAGACCAGAGAGAGACCAGGGAAAGACCAGAGGGAGACCAGAGAGAGACCAGAGAGAGACAAAAGAGAGACCAAGGAGAGGGAGCAGAGGAGACCAGAGGGAAACCAGAGAGAGACCAGAAAGAGACCAGCGAGAGACCAGAGAGAGTAGAGAGAGACCAAAGAGAGACCAGAGAGACCAAAGAGAGGGAGCAGTCTATTTTGCATTAAGGCTAACAAAACTACAAGCTAATATAGTAAAAATTCCTCACCACAGGAGCAGCAGGTTGAGGCTCCTCTGTGAAGCACAAACACAATAGAATCAAACACGTGTCGAAGTTTAAATTCAAGGTAAAAACTGTGATTGTGTCGCACCATAAATATCTTCTGTTTGTTGTTGAGAGTTTTTGGATTTTGCTTTGAAGAACAGCAGCGCAGCGACAATGAGCAGCAGCAGCAGCAGCAGCCCGGCTCCAGAGGCAATGTACAGCGGCACCAGCGGAACTGGGGAATGGTTTATAACAGGGGTGATGTGTTCTACAAATAAGGTCTGTCTCTGAGGTCTCTGTCTCTGAGGTCTCTGTCTCTGAGGTCTCGGTCTCACCTGAAGTCTCAGTCTCCCCTGAGGTCTCGGTCTCCCCTGAGGTCTCGGTCTCCCCTGAGGTCTCGGTCTCCCCTGAGGTCTCGGTCTCCCCTGAGGTCTCGGTCTCTGAGGTCTCGGTCTCTGAGGTCTCTGTCTCTGAGGTCTTTGTCTCTGAGGTCTTTGTCTCACCTGAGGTCTCGGTCTCACCTGAGGTCTCGGTCTCAGAGGTCTCGGTCTCACCTGAGGTCTCGGTCTCAGAGGTCTCTGTCTCTGAGGTCTCTGTCTCTGAGGTCTTTGTCTCACCTGAGGTCTCGGTCTCTGAGGTCTCGGTCTCCTGTTGCGGTCCCCTGCTCCTCTGGACCCTGATCTCCGCAGACACCACCTGTTCTCTCTCCTTATAGCTGCAGGTGAAGGTCCTGACTTCGTGACTTTGCTCCACAGTCTCCTCAGACTCACAGCGGTCTCTTCCTTCAGACAGAAGAGCACCGTCCTGGTCTCTCCACTCTATCCTCCCGTCTCTGCAGGATCTTATGTGGGGTCTCAGAACACACCGGAGTCTTGTTTGTGACGCGTTGACCACAGTCTGAGACACTGAGACACAAGACACAGAGAGACATTTATGAGGAACAGGAAGTAACAAGAAAAAGAAACTAAAAGAAGATTAGTTTGTGCCACAAACTTTTCATAGATCCAAGATGGCGTCCTTTTTAAATCAGTAGTGGCCAAGCCCCGGCGATCCAAGATGGCGCTGTATTCAAATGAATGGTTGTGCTAAGTGGTGCTTTGTGCCGGCACGGCCGCTGACATATTAGTGGAACTTGCCTGTATTTGGGGATCGTCTGGTCCTCCCGGTTCTGCGCAGTGGATGATCTCCCACAATGCGTGTGTGGGTCTCACGCACGTGCACAGAGGGGCTCGGCTGCGCTCTGACCAATCAGAGCAGTTCATCAGAGCGGGAGTTAGAGCGAGAGCCAGACGAGCAGAATTTGTGGCACTAAAGTGTGGATTTAAAGAAAACCGAAGGATTTAAGAAGAAAAAAAGTTCAGGATGACAAGAGACACTAAAATCCCCACAAAATCCGACCTTTATTAAAGCTGTAGGTTCTCTGTCAGCTGAGGTCGCGCTGTTTTAATTTACATTGAGTTCTATGGGGAACATTTCTGGGTAGCCCACGTGAATTTAGTCTGGTTCAGTCTGCAGTACCGCGAGAATCCGCCGAGCCCATGAGTTATTCAGCTACAAGCTAGTAATACCCTATCCAGTTATTATAATAGATCCATGGTAGTGGCCGGTGCTCAGTAGCGCATGGGACATACAGGAGGACCAAAAGATTAGCGGAACTCGCCCATATTTGGGCATCGTCTGAGCTCCCATGATGCTTTGCACCAAATACATGTGTGGCTCTCAAGCACGTGCACAGAGGGGCTCGGCCGCGCTCTGACCAATCACACAGTCACTTTGCTGTGGTGTTGTTTGTGCTCATCTTTTCTCTGTTAAGTATAATTCAGTCCTAATGTTCAGGCAACCCTGAGGCAGGACATTCCTCTGGAGAGCGGTTGGCTGTTCTCGCGAGATTTGCAGGAGGACGGTCGTAGACTCAGCCTGTGGGTCGGAAGAGGAAGAGAGAGCGGACGCAAGTTTGAATCTAAGATAAATAATAAAAGTGAACATTGATACTGGCAGTTTGGCATAATCCGGTTTGTGGACTCCTCTGCCTGGACTCCCAGGCAGAGGAGGAGGATGATTTGATGAACTTTGAGGACTTTCCATCATTACGTAGTGATGGGGATAGGGGGGGTAGGAGCAGTCAGAGAAGTAAGCGTGGTTTAGATGATTCTAGACCAGATGAAGGAAGGTCAGTGATGCGGAAGAGAGTAGTTCGAGAACCAAACAAAACTAAGGTCATACTTAAGTTCGGGAGTGAGAGTGAGGCTTTAAAGGTCAGGATTTTGGCGCTGTCCAGGGAGATAAAAAAGAAGTTGGGAGAAGTGGAGTTAGCAAAGATTTTGAGAGATGGGTGTTTATTAATTGTGTGCAAGTCTGAAGCGCAAAAGGATGAGGTGATGCAGTTAGGAAGTATAGGTAAGATGGTGGTTAGGGAGCGCAAGATAGTCGGGGAAAGGAGGGGGGCGCGGGGGGTGATAACCGGTGTCCCTCTTGACGAGGATCTTGAGAAGCTAAAAAAAAGCTTTGGAGCAGGGGTGAAAGCAGTTACAAGGCTGATGCGAAGGAGTGAGGGCCAAAGGGTCCAAAGTCTGTCTGTTTCAGTGGAGTTTTGTGATGAGGTGCTTCCTGAAAAGATCAGAGTGGGGTGTTTGAGTTTCCCGGTAAGAGAGTTTGTTCCTCCCCCGCTCCGATGCTAAAAGTGCCAACACTATGGGCACATAGCAGCGGGGTGTAGAGGGAAACAACGCTGTTCTAGGTGTGGAGGGGAGCATAGGATTGAAGAATGTAAAGAAAAAGACAAAATAAAGTGCTGTAACTGTGGGGGACAACACACCACTTCATATGGGGGATGTGAAGTCAGGAAAAGGGCTGTAGAAATTGAGAGAGTCAAAGTTGCAGATAACACCACGTATGCTGAGGCAGCGAAGAAGGTACCAGTTCAAAGACGGGGGAATGGAGGTTCGCCAGAGGTAGGGCTGAGAAGAGAGGTGAGTGTAGGCCCGGATATGGGAGACTGGCTTGTGTTTTTGGCCTATGTGATTAACTGCGTTGACCAAACTAAACATAGAGCAGAAAAAGTAAAGATTGTCGTGAAGGGTGCCAAAAAGTTTTTGGGGGTGAAGGGAATACCATGGGAGCAGGTGTACAATAGACTGGAAGTGGGTAATAAGGGAGGAGGAGGAGGCATTGCTGAGAAGCAATGAATCTAATACAGTGGAACGCTCGGAGTTTAATTGCAAATGGTCAGGAGTTTAAGGCCTATGTGCAATATAGTAAAGTAAAACCGGATATTATCTGTGTGCAAGAGACGTGGCTTAAGGATTCACTGGATTTTGTTATTAGGGGGTATGAATGTGTAAGAAGGGATCGGGATGGAGGAAATGGTGGTGGGTGTGCAATATTTGTTAGAAGCGGGATTCAGTATAGGGTTGTAAGTAAGGGAGAAACACTTGAGTGTATAGTTATAGAAGTATGGGGGAGAGGAGGTAAGATTATAGTTGTAAATTTCTATAATCCATTCAAAAGGTTATCACTGGAGGGTCTGCAGGAGTTTATGATGCACATGGAAGGGATGTGGTGATTTTAACGCACATAGTACATTGTGGGGTGGGGTTAATGACGCAAATGGACTGGTGGTTGAAGAATTATTGGATATAAAGAGCCTTGTATGTCTGAATGATGGGAGTGGAACTAGATTTGATTCGAGGACTGGGAAGGAGTCCTCGTTAGATATTGCTGGGAACTGCACATGGAAGGTGGATAAGGAGACTACGGTAGGAAGTGACTATTTTCCACTAGTCATTCAGATGGGGTTTAGTTTTGAAGAAGCTGCTGTTGGAGGGGTAGGTAAATGGTGTTTTGACAAGGTGGACTGGGGTAAGTTCAAAACCATTTGTGAAGAAAAAACTGAGAAGATAAATGTTAATGGTCATATTACTGTGGATGAGTTTAATAGTAGCTTGTGTAATGCAATAGTTCATGCAGCAAAACAGACAGTAAGAAAGAAGGAGGGGAGGAGGAAAAGGAAGATCGTCCCCTGGTGGTCAGAAGAGTGCACTGTAGCCATACGTGAGAAGTAAAGCCTTCAAGGCTTTGGCAAATAATCTAAACTGGGAGAATTATCTGGACTATAAGAGGAAGTTGGCAGTTTGCAGGAGAGTGATCAGGGCAGCTAAGAAGAACTATTGGAGGGGTTACTGTGACACGCTGGACAGACAGACTTCTATGAACCAGGTCTGGGGAACAATTAAAGATGGCACGTATGGCGTAGGGAGTTTAGCTACCCTGTGATGAAAAGTGGGGAGCGTCTTGTGATGGAGGATAAGAGTAAAGCTGAAGAATTGGCTAAATATTTTGCAAAGGTCCATAGCTCAGAAAATTTAAGCATAGAGGAAAGGAGAGAAAGAGAGCGGACAGTGTTAAAACACACAGGTGGCTTAGAGCATGCACAGAGTTATAATGATGTGAGTTTTCAATGTTTGAACTAAATGGTGCGTTAAATAAATGTGGGAAGACGTCCCCAGGGGGGGACGATATTAGCTACCGTATGTTAAAGAATCTTAGTAATCGTGGTAAGGAAAAGCCGGTAAAATTGTATAATTAAGTCTGGGCAGAGAGTGTGTTGCCAGAGCAGTGGAAAGAAGCGGTAGTGGTGCCAATTTGTAAACCAGGTAAGGACCCCAGTGCGGTCGAGAGTTATAGGCCTATAGCCTTGACCTCACATGTTTGTAAATTAATCGAGAAAATGGTCAATGAGAGATTAGTATACTTTGTGGGTATGGGTTTAGAAAGGGCAGGAGCACAATAGATCCAGCTGTTTTATTGGAACATGACATAAGAAAGGTCCAGGCTAACAAGGAGAGTGTGGTGGCAGTGTTTTTTGATGTGGAAAAAGCCTACGATATGATGTGGCGGGAAGGGCTTATAATAAGGTTGCGTCAGATGGGAATAAGAGGGGAAATGCTTGGATGGGTCAGACAGTTTCTAACAGGGAGAAAGATTTTGGTACGAGTAGGTTCTGAGATAAGCGCAAGGTATGAGGTAGACACTGGGAAGTTTGTGTAAGCCCTCAGTCGTACAGGGATTAGTCAAAGCAAAGGAAGGTTTCTCACCCATCATCTGTACTTCTTAGCAAGTTTTCCCGACGTTTCGTCCTCAAACTAGCGGACTTCTTCAGGGAATGAATTCTCGGACCGCGCGTTGGAGATTTATAACCTATGGGTGTGGTTAGCCACACCCTAATCCTGATACTAACTCATAAACAATCTAAGGTCTGCTTGATGTAGAAGGGAGCAGGTCTAACGACCCTGCTGAGGCTAACGACCCTAACTCATTAGCATGTCACTGACCTTGTCCCAAGTTAGGGCGTTGTTTTTAGGATGTCGTCATAGATGCGAGGCAAAACAAATCTTAACCCTCCTGCTCTGTTAAGAGAAGGTTTTTGTTTCCTCACAAAAATGGCTTCTTTCACTCCTCTCTCAAACCAATTCTTCTCCCGAGCCAGAATTTTAACCTCTGTGTCATCCACCGTGTGGTTGGAGGCCTTGAGGTGGAGATGAACAGCCGACTGTGGCCCACTAGAGTTTTCTCTACGATGTTGGTAAAGTCGTTTCTGTAGAGTTTGTTTAGTTTCTCCAATATAGTGGTCAGTGCACTCCTCTTCACTACATTTAATTGAATACACCACATTGCTCTGTTTGTGTCTGGGTGTTTTGTCTTTGGGATGCACTAATTTCTGTCTTAACGTGTTGAAAGGTTTGAAATACACAGGGATTTTGTGTTGCCTAAAGATTCTTTGTAGTTTCTCTGAAACTCCCGCCACATACGTTAAGGACACCCCTCTCCTCCTACTTTCTTCTGTCTGTAGGACTGTGTCTCTGGCCTTTCTCGTCCTTTGGGCTTTAGTAAAAGACCACTTGGGGTA